AAAAAAAAAAAACAACTTCGTCTGTTCAAATATTCCCAGGAATCATTTCCAAACTAACTTCATTCATCTCAAAATAAATTTAACACATTTCTTATCGACATTTTAGCAAATAAATCTACTTAAAAACTCCCCTTTGATGTTCAAAGGATGGGAAGAAATAGGGGGAAAGTAAGTGGGTCCACATCCCATGACATGACAGGATATTATGGACAAAGAAAGCCCAAATCAGAGGGAAGGTCTAAACTGAACTGAGCAACCAAGACCAAACGCTTTAATTAAAAGTTTAATCTTGGAAAGGAGGGTGTTCAGCAATTATAATATATCAATGAAGATTGAAACTGAATATTATTCCTAGTCCACAAGTCAAGATAAAATTATAAAGCTAGTTAGACACATACCTTCTCAATGTACAGCTGTGGAATATCAAATGATTTCTTCTTCCTACTCACAGTAGTGGATAACAATATTATTTCTGTGGCTGAGTCAGGATGAGCAAGCTCCTGATGTGAAATATTGTCCACATCCAGAACAGAAAGCACTTTGGCATTAGCAGTTTTTTCAATGGGGTTTTCCATACCAGACCTCATGAGACATTCACGTGCAGCTTCCTGACCTTCTTGACTAAGCATGTACCTGCAGTTTCTACATACATTACCATCTGCTAATAGCAAAAATGCAATCAAACCGCAACTTGAAAACTTCCAGGTCTATGTTTATAAGAACTGCTCGCCATAATACATCATCATTTGCTTAAGCCTGTAATCAACTCAAATATCAATTACCTAAAAAGAAAATATTAGCCCATTGCCGGTTGACAAGACCTGCTTCTATTAAATGGAAAAGAATTAAGTATTGCAACAAAGATTCTAATAAATTTCACATGATAGTTATCTGTAAATCATCATTCATGTGAAGCAGATCTTTCCTACTATATACTTTTTGGTTGTGAATGATTTTGTAAGTAATTCATTTTTCATAAAGACAATGTAGTTTATTTTTCCTTGTTCTGCGTAAATTTGTGAAGGTCATAAGGTGAGAGCTCTTGTCATTCAAATTTACAAGTACAGAAGCAGAAAAACGATATAAGATAATTATAAAATTCCTAGACAGCATAACAAAACAAGAGAAAGAAATGTAGAAACAAAATAAATACTTTGCTGGGCAACTTGATTTGATAACCAGTCCCTTGGTTACCAATGTCTTCATGCAGGACCATCCACTATACCACTCCCTTGCAGAACTCCCAAAGCGTCCAGCTTTTCCCTTTCCCTTCTCTGGCCTAAAAGAGCAGAGAAACGCAGTCTCAAAACATCACAAAAAGGCAAATTAAACCCAAATAAATAAATAAATAAATAAAAGATAATTACAGAACTAATATCATAAATTAACATACATAATTGGCACACGAGAAAGCCCACTTGCTTCAGCTGCATCGATAAGCTCCTGTTTACGCATAAATTCATTCCCATTTCCAATTCCCCTGATGATAACTTAACATCAGAAAAATCCAATTTCACATAAAATAAAAAAATGTGACAAAGAAAATTCAACCACAGCTGTGTGAGAGTGCACTGCAGTGCATATTAGCTAAAGAAAATTCCAGTTTACCTGTAAAGTGTAATCAACAATGCATATCCTACAGAATTCTTCTGAGGAACATAGCGTCTGCTTCCTTTGGTTCTCTTATCTAAAACAAAATGCATATTTGACAACAAAACTAATGAATTTGACACGGAGATCATATAAACAGAGAATGTAAAGCCAACGAAGAATGAAACGCACAGTTTTTAGACAAGTCTTCTGGTTCAGAGCTGCCTGAACCGGTCTCGGAAAACCCTTGCATAAGGCGCGAAAATCAACTTCACTACCACGTCGCTTGGAACGCCTTCGGAAAATATTGTTGAGCGATGAAGAAGAGGGTGAGAAAGTTGGGGGGAAGCCTTAACGGGCCAGCGGAATTAAGTAGGCGTTTTCGGCCCAATGTAGGAATTAGGGGAAAAAAATTTTACACCATACCCAACTTCTGTCTCTAGACACCCTTTTTCATTTTCTTTTTTCTTTCAATAAAATGGCACTCATGCTGTGAACTATTTGGTTGGATCATACTTCTAGTGGGAAAGTTGCGTCATAAGTGCTTTTGATGGGTGTTCTTTTACCATAGCACCACATGTCATTTAAACTTGACTTTTCTTGTTTTTATCTTTAAAAATTCACACAAAATTATTTCCAAAAATCATAAAAATACAATTTGCTATAAAGCTTATTACAACATTATCTTCGATTATGAATCAAATTTTGATTTAGGAAAACTAAAAACTAAAAATTAGAAGTAGAGTTCTAGTGAATAAGGCTAATGATTCAATTTAGTATTATAATTAGTATAAAAACAAAATTGAGTTTGAGTTATTAACGTATTTATTACGAATTTGGGAGATTAAAGCATGAAGAAAAAAATGAAAGAGAATGACACGTGACAGCAACATAACAATGCATCATTAGTGTTTCTAACAAGTAGCAATGTCATTTCGACCAAAAAAAAACAAGTAGCAATGTCATTCTCTAGTAGTGCCACGTGTCACTAAAACTTCATCTCTTTTTATCTTAAAAAAATTTAGTAGTTACGTAATAAAATTCTAATAAGTTTATCTTAAAAAAATTCACTAGACAAGGATATTTTTTGTTCACAAAAAAGGTTTTGCATCGACATTTTTGGTTCCTAATATACTAAAGGGCTTTTCATTAATGCAGTGTACACAAAAAGTGCCAATAAAAATAATATATTTGTGGACACCATTACCTCTGTCCTTTTTTATTTTTTTTTAGTAGTAATGTACATATGTTTCATTACAAGGGAAAAATAGCTGAAGAAAAACTTAATTATTTTCAAATTAAGTGGAGCGTAATCTTGATTTCGAACTTTGAAGATGTAACCATGCATTCGCCAAAATATCACCCATTGTTACCCTATATGCAATAAAATATTTATCAAAATAAAAACTTTTTTCAGAGGAAACAAAAGTTAAAAAGAAACACGAGGAAAGTTTGAGCTCATATCTATTTGCATTTGGCCGAAAAGAATTAGCAATAATTTCTCTGTTTGGATAAGAGAAAATAACTCGAACTTTAGCTAAAAGTCAAGAATTTAAGATGAGAAATTGACAATTCCCTTATTTGGCAACTTAAGTGCGGAATTTATTAATTGAAGCGTGGAAAAAATTGTGGTAATTGAGGAATCAAATTCCCGAGTTTAATTTCCACCAAAATATGCGTCATTTAACAATTTCTATAGTGCCATTTATAAAATTTTGTCATTTACGAAATTCGACATACATAAATCTAAATATTGAAATTTTCAATTACCAAAAATTGAAATTATGGAAATCTAAAATTTCGTCAATTTTGAATTTTATGTAATTTTCAATTCCTTCATCCAAATGAAGGGTTTGCGTATTTGCATTTGCTTCCTTTTTTAGGCTTTAATGAAAGAGCTTCTTTTGACCCAAAAAGAAAACCATGACTGCATCATATTGGAAATTTTCTTTTGACGAAGTTCCAAGAAAGAGAAGAGAGAGGAGAGGGCTGGATTGGAATGGGCCATTTTATCTTTTCATTCTTTAATTATTATTATTTAATTATTTTTTTAATAATTGAAGTGTCACATGCCATTTTTAACAATGAATTGAATGGTTAGACATGAGCTTAGCCAAGTTGGTTAGGGCAAATGTATTCCCCACTCTGCACCCGAGTTCAAATCCCCCTCCCTCATAGTTTATAGAGGTGTACATCGGTTTGAAACCAATGATTTTTTTATCAATCCAACCCAATCCAATATTTTATTGGATTTGAGATTTTAAAATCCAATCCAATGTGTTCAAATGTTAGGATCCTACATTGGATTGGATTGGATGATTGGTTTGTATGAAAATATGATGCATGCAAAGATAAAATAGAATTCAATCCTATAGAAAATATCTTTAAGTATGTACTAAATAAACATAAATAAATTTTAGAAAACAACACTACAACATGAAGTTTGACACAAAAAGTTAGAAATCTAGACATAAATATACATAAATAAAGTTTAAAAAATACCATGTTATAGACATAAATAAATTTTAGAGTTCAAGTTACATCCATTCCTTAAATAAAAAAAACGCTAAAGTCAACATAAAAAGTTAGAAATCTAGAATTTTTATGCTATATTAATATATATATATATTTTTAAAGAATATCAATAAAGTTGTGTTGGTGCATTGGTGTGAGTAGAACATGAAAGGTGGTTTAGGTTTGAACATTAGAAAAGGTAAATATCTGCATATTTTTTTCAAAGGTTGGATCGGTTTGGTTTGAATTGGATTTCAAACTCTGGATTTGCGAACCAAACTGATTCAATAGGTTTTTAATTTTTTTAGATCCAATCCAATCCGCCAATATTATCGAAACCAATAAAATTGGATTAGATTGGATTGGTCAATTTTGGTGGATTAGTTTGGATCATGTACGGTCCTAGTTTAGATTAATTTAAAATAAATTATCATTTAAACAATAAATTAGATGGAATGTGAGGGAATCTAAGCGTTGAGATGAATTAACAAAAAAAAAGTAATTCAAATCCTTAATTTCTCAAAAACAAAGAATAGAGAGTAAATTGAAAGTATGTTACAATTAGCAGAAAAACTTGTATGAAATGGGGATAACATTATTTTGTTATACCCGATCAATCACAGATTGACATGTGAAAAAGTTACCATACATGATATATCATAATTGGCCAAAAATTGTAAAACAGTGTTATCTCCATCTCATATAAGTGTCTCTACAAGTAGGGTATATCAGGACTGAAAAAGAAAGAAAGTAGGGTATTCAATGGTTTACCCTAAAAAGACAGCACGAGCAAATTTGATTTGATCTTTGTCCCCAAAGTTTGATTTGATCCTAGTTTTCAAAAGAGAAAAAGTGGAAATCCACGTGTAAAGCAGCCGATTTCTCTCTCCTGCAACCAAGTGGAAACTGTGAGAGAGCGGACGGTCCAACGGCGATCCAGAAATAGTTTCTCTTTTGTCGTTAAAACTTAAATGGAGAGAGAAAAAGGAAAACAGTAACTACTTGACTGACTCTACCAAGTTCAGCTCAATCCAAAAGAGTTGTTCTGTTCAGTGAATTTTGTCAGCAAAAGAAAATCTCGGAAGAAAGAAGAAGAAACCACCAGGTATACCGATGCTTGGATTTTCATTGAAGCAGTTTGTTGTTTTAGATCTGTTAGAAAGATAGCATCTTCTGCATTTGATTTTCCCTTCTCTGATTTCCTTCCAGTACTTGCCAATCGAAGATTCTGTTTGGTAGCTGAGAAAATGTTGAAAATTAAAAAAAGAAAAGAATACTGGTTGAATTTCTCACTTCAACTTGGCTGAAATAGTGGGCTAGCCCTTTTTCCTTTCTGCTCAGTTGCTGTGAAAACTGGAAAATTAAAGAAGTTTAGTTGCATGTTGTATTGCATGTAGCTTAAAGTGAATTAAAATGATTTCTTATTCCCTTTTTCTCCCTATGAAAGTTTAATAAGTTTAAGGCAGATTTGAAGTTTTTATGGTATGCCTAATTTATTTACTACTTGCATGTTTGCAGGAAATTATTCTGTACCATAACTTTGTACTTTCCAGCATTCTGCAAAGATTTGCACTTATTTTGTTATGTACTTTGTTATGTACTTCGTTCTGTGACAAGATGGTGTTGCTGCTACTTTTGTAGCGGAGACAGTCTTTCTTATCAGATTTGGGATAGTAGAAAACTGTGCTTCTGTTGCCTGAGAGTATTTCATGGAACAAAGTTTAGGTCAAGACTCTGTTCCTGGTTTTGGATCATTTGATAAGTCTAGGGTATTGGATGTAAGGCCTTTGAGGCGTCTTGTTCCGGTTTTCCCATCAGCTTCTAGTAGTTCTTCATTTTCAACTCCCCAAGGTGCTGCTCCTTTTGTTTGTGCTTCTCCGGCTGGTCCTTTCCCACCTGGGGTTTCCCCATTTTTCCCGTTCTTCATTTCGGCAGAGTCTCAAAGACCACTTGAACAAAATCAACAAACACCAAGTGGTGTAGGCAACCAAAATACACCTTTTGTCTTCAACAACCCAATATCAAATGCAGTCCCAATAAATTCATTTAGGACACCTCCATCCTCAACCGCTAGGGGAACCCCAAACCAGTATACGGGTACTTCTAATGGAGATACTACGCCATCAAGAAGGATTACTAGAAGTCGTGCTCAGCCACAATCCCAAAGTGGGATCGCAGAGGAAGATGGTTTCAATACGAGTGTTACTGACGGTGAAAATACAAGGAAGGTGGGGAGGTCAAAGGGTAAGTTCCAGTCCCAGAAGAGGACAAGGGGTGGCCAGGACATTAATGTTGCGTTGCCTGATGTTGATGTTGATGCAATAGTTGATAATATTCTCACATCATATACCGATACATTCCGGCAAGCTGATGGCAACAAGGAATCAGTTGGATATGCACTCATTTTCTATGATTTGCTAAGAAGAAGGATTACGCAACTTGAAGAGATGAAGGAAAAAATACCAGGAGCGTCAAGAACGGGACGCCCCGATCTGAGGGCAGGAACACTCTTCATGAATAAGGGAATTAGGACAAATACCAAGAGGAGGATTGGTGCAGTGCCTGGTGTTGAAGTTGGGGATATTTTCTTTTTCCGAATGGAGTTGTGTTTGGTTGGATTGCATGCTCCAACGATGGGTGGAATTGATTACATGGGAGTCAAGAACAGTACAGAAGACGAGCCTTTGGCCTTGAGCATTGTTTCTTCAGGAGGATATGAAGATTCTGTGGAGGATGCAAATGTGTTGATATACAGTGGCCAAGGTGGTAATGCTAGCAATGATAACCGGAACAACAGGGAAATGAAGGATCAGAAGCTTGAAAGGGGTAACCTCGCTTTGGAGAAAAGTTTGCATCGAGCTAATGATGTACGAGTAATTCGAGGTTTAAAGGATGTATCTAATCCAACTGGGAAGGTATATGTCTATGATGGTCTATATAAAATCCATGAATCATGGGTGGACAAAGGGAAGAGTGGTTGCAGTGTATTTAAGTATAAATTGGTAAGGTTACCTGGCCAGCCTGAAGCGTTTACAATATGGAAATCAATTGAACAATGGAAAGTAGAAACTACTACTACAAGGGTTGGACTTATATTGCCCGATCTTACTTCAGGAGCAGAAAATTTACCCGTTACTCTGGTAAATGATGTTGATGGCGAGAAAGGCCCTGCACACTTCACATATATTTCTAGTCTCCAGTATTCAAAACCGGTGAATCTTACAGAATCTTCTGCTGGATGTACTTGTATTGGAGGATGTCTCCCTGGTAATTCCAACTGCTCTTGCATTAAGAAAAACGGAGGTTTTCTCCCATATACTGCAAATGGGCTTCTTGTTAACCAAACACCCCTATTACATGAATGTGGTCTTTCCTGTCAGTGCCCCCCTAATTGTCGGAATCGAGTGTCTCAAGGTGGCCTGAAAATTCGTTTGGAGGTGTTTAAAACTAAGGAAAAAGGTTGGGGTTTGCGGTCCTGGGATCCCATCCGTGCTGGTTCTTTCTTATGTGAATATGCAGGACAAGTTCTTAATATATCTGGGGTAGAAGAATTGGGGGGTGATTATGAAGATGATTATATTTTTGATGCTACTCGTACATGTGAGCCACTGGGAGTTCTGCCTGGTGATTCAACTGAGACTCCAAAGGTCCCATTTCCTCTAATTATAAGTGCAAATACTGCTGGAAATGTTGCTCGTTTTATGAATCACAGCTGCTCTCCGAATGTATTTTGGCAGCCAGTTTTACGTGAAAATAAAAATGAGTCTGACCTCCATATTGCGTTTTATGCGGTTGGACACATTCCTCCGATGACAGAGTTGACATATGATTATGGATTGATCCCTCATGAGAGGAAGAAAGTGTGTCTTTGTGGGTCAGTAAAGTGCAGAGGCTCTTTTTATTAATGGGTTGGTAATGGTTTTATCAGATGAAGATGGACCTTATGCATCTAGAAAAAGGTTAGTGGCCTTCAATTCCCTGATTGAGTTTGTTTATTACCGTGATACTTTTTCTGTTTATCTTGTTTTCTTGTTTCATCATATAAATGCATCTGAAATGAATTGGACTTTAAAATATAGATCAATTCTGGAACAAAGCATGTATGATCATGAAAATAGTTTATGTTCAGTACTTAAAAGTGGTTCTTCGGTTTATGTGTTTCCATTATGGATTATCATGAAATCTGTTGATTTTGTGTGGATGTTTCACCTGTTTTGAAGACAAAATATGTAGAAGAAAGGGGGAACTTTCCGTAAAATTGTATTCAGAAAGTGTCTAAAGAATGCGTTCTTAGTTGAATCAGTTTTGTTTTACATTCCAAAGTAAATGTTTGTCACAAACACCAGTATGGTATTTGTTGTTGACAGTTTACTTTGGTCTTGAATATTTCATGATCATGACATGTAGTTTTATAAACAAGTAAAATTGAGTGTTCTAGAACTCCAGTTAATGTCAGAAGCATTACCTAGAGAATGTCTGAATGTGAGCTTCTACAGTATCCCAAGATGCATATTTTCAGCTGCAATCTGTAGGCCAATGCCGCATCTGTTATTGGTGTACAGATTGGTGTATCTAGGACCATATTTCTGGGCGGGCAGCAATAATATGTCATAGAATATACATTGTATAGTTGAAAGATATTTTTGAGTCCGATTGATTTTTAAATCAAGTGCCTTTAATGTTTTGATGATATGAGTTAAGTTTATCCACACTTAATACCCAAGCTATTGAAATGTTTCTATATGGTCCTTCAGTTTCCAACTATGGCAATGTTAATCCAGCATATTTGATATTTGTTTAAAACTCTAATTTGAAGCTTCGGACGTTCTTCCCATCTCAGTTTATTTTTTGAGACACATCTAAGTTCAAGAGAAACATGGAACAACCGCGCTCTAGCCTTCTCTGTAATTAGAATTGACCCTCCAAAGGATAGGTCATCTACCTTAATTCGGAATTCCTTTGCTTCGATGTTAAAGATTCTAGGAATATGTCTCACACTCACCCCTCCCCCTCCCCCTCCCTCTCTCTCTCTCTCTCTCTCCGTCATTTCTTTGGCCCCTGATTACCACTCTGATTAGCAAGAAGAAATATCATTTGGAAAATATATTTACTAGTCATTGTCAGCTCAGAACACCGATAACCCATTTGGAAAATATATTCGGATCTTATAAATGCATTGTAAGCAAACTAAAACCGATAACCATTCCATGAATCTCTGTTGATTGTTACTAGATGAATTATGATTCTATAAATCTACTGTAATATGTGGAAATCCTCCGTAGTACCATCCTGTCTGGTCCACTCTATAATCACCAGTGCGTCACACTTTAAAATCCCACATTCCAACTCCACCTCTGTTGTTGATTTACATCCATGCCACCTTCAGGTCAGGAATTCTTGTCTTTGTTGTTAAATCTTGTAATTTAATAGTTCAATTTCATACTCCATCAAAATCTTGCTATGGGCATTTGATATGTGCTCTATTTCCTTCTTGTTATTTTTCAATGTCCAAATAGTTTACTGTAGCATTGTCACTTATAAACAACTTCATTCCTTAAAAAATTTATAATAAAAGCATTTTTCTATTTAAACTATGCACTTACCCATTCCATATTGCCCTGGCCCTTGTGCAGGTGGTGTGCTTTTTTTTTTTTTTACAGCAAGAAAGGGATCATGCAGACTGTTCCTGTGCTGTATTCATTACCTTGGAAGGCATCTGGTTTCACAGGTATTCAGGAACACCATATTTTCCCATTTATGACTTTAGCTAATGGGCATGTGCAGGATCCTTTCACTGTCAATGTACTAATTATTGTATCAAGTTGTAATATGAATTTTACTAGGAGACCTCCGGCGGCGGTGGGTTTAGTTTAATTTCTTCTATGCACTTTCCTTGTATAATTAGGTTTCTATTTTTGGTAAATACACGCTGCGGCTTTGAAGATTTGGTAGGCCTTTTGCTGGGTGGGTATTTTGGCACAAACTATGTTAGGTCTGTCAGATAACATGTTTTTAACGTGACTTTTGCTCAACTTTGAGTCAAAATTCAAATAGGTTTAAACAAGCCTTTTCAGGTGGATCCACATTCTCCTCCGTGAGGAGACCAAGATTGACCATTTTCTTGCCCAAAAATATGAATGACTGAATGAGAATACGATCCCCAAGTGCCACAGATGAGCATTGGAAGTATAGTTGCAAGGAAAAATGCCACGGGAAAGAGATAAATTTGTTAAACTGTATATCTAGCCTTGTTTGGCATGTGGTATCCCCGTGATATAGAAGTTTTTGTCCTTCGCCCAGGGCTGAGGGGTACCCACTTTTTTGGACGAGGGACAGGGCTGACCCTGAGCTTTTGGTGCCGTAGGCAAAAATAAAAAAAGGCGCCTACACGATACAATCCTACACTCAAAAATAAAAATAAAATAAAAAAACCCTAATTTTATTGGTCGGTTCATTTTCCTCAGCTAGAGAACACTATATAATCAAATTTGGCTTAATTGTGCAAGATATAGAGCTCTTTACAATGTAAGGGTTCAGGGTTTAGGCGCAAGTAAAGATATACAAAGGCTCCGAAGACATAGGCCTCTTTCCGAAGAAATTGTTGAGTTTTACAACACGAGAATTATACATATTATGTCATATTTATAATCAACTACTAAGTTTTACAATCTAAATACAATTGCTTCAACAGATTGGAAATAAGAAATTTTGAAAGGCAATTTATTCGGAGCCTTTCTGCCTAAAACCTGGTTATCAACCTGGGTTGCTTTGCTTCAGTTTCCGAATCTCTACATTTATACTCCGCCCATTTATCCGCATTTCACCTCATCTCGGTCATTAGAATAATCTAGCAACTTAAAACCTCATCTCGGTCATTAGAATAATCTAGCAACTTAAAGCATAACATGTCTAGCTTAAAATTAGTTTATTTTAAATGTTTTTCAAAACTTACATTATCCTGTCATTATCTCTCTCTCAATCTAAATACAATTGCTTCAACAGATTGGAAATAAGAAATTTTGAAAGGCAATTTATTTGGAGCCTTTCGGCCTAAAACCTGGTTATCAACCTGGGTTGCTTTGCTTCGGTTTCCGAATTTCTACATTTATACTCCGCCCATTTATCCGCATTTCACCTCATCTCGGTCATTAGAATAATCTAGCATGTCTAGCTTAAAATTAGTTTATTTTAAATGTTTTTCAAAACTTACATTATCCTGTCATTATATCTCTCTCTTTCTCCCCAACCCCTTCACCTCCCTCTCTTCGATTCCCTCTCCCATTTCAATATCTATTAGTCAACTTCAATTGCATGGATGCTTTTTAACTTGGAATTTTATGCAACAATTTCAAAATTGAATTCTTGGGCACTGTTGTTACTGACGAAGCCTGCAACTCAACATCTCCCTCCTCACCTTCTTTAAGACTCAAGTTCTACCATTTAATCAGACCCGTCGCTGTGCATAATTGCCTAGTAGCGAGCCAAGAACTCGGAGTCATGACAAGGACAGCTCGGAGGGCCAAGCCGAAGTCCCAAGTTAGAGCTCAAATTGTGGACTCGAGCCCGAAGGTATGATGAAGAAGAGGAGATAAGCTTCAACATTGAAACTTGTATGAAAATTAGGAAATTAAATTTACGGTGTTGAGTAGTAGAGTTTTTGGGAAGCGAGAATTGAGAGAGACTAGAGAGAATCAGGGAGGGAAGCGAGCAAGGAGGGGAGAGAGATTTTTTACGGGAGACTATAAATAAACCCAAAATTGGTGGACTATTTATAAAGAAGGACAAAATTAAAGTGTTTGGACAATAATGCCCTTACTCATTTTGATATTGCCTAAGGAATCCTTCTTCTTTTTGCTAGCCGTATGGAACCAAAATGTTTCTTCCTTTCAAATAATGCCGTATGGAGCCAAATATTCTTCTTTTATTGAGATGATCCTTCATGTGAAAGGATGAGGACTCCATTATGCTTCCATCATGTTGTCTATGTTATGGAGTTCTTCTTCTCCTAGGCTATTCCAATATGTGTTGTCATTATCTTCTACTTCAATTTGTCCTGCTATTTGGCTATAAATCTCATCAAAAACTTCTGCTCCAGTTGTGCTTATTCTGAATCCGTATGTCTCATCTGGTCTCCTGGATGTAGACTCTAAATAAATTTTGAGAAAATTGGATTGATACAGGAGGTTCAGACGATCATCGTTGAACAATTGTTGCTATGCTATTATTACTCCTCTATATTTTTGGATGTCCTGCTTGGTAGGAATCCCTGTTTTTGCTGATTCTGCCGGACTAAGTAGTTCCATAAAAGAAATAATAATTCTATGTTGTGCTCTATCTGGGTAAATGTCATCCTTAAACCACTCTGGGGGTAAACTAGTAAAATCTAATTTTACATTTTTCCAAAGAGGAAGATAAAAACTTATGACTTCTTTAAATTTTGAGGAAAATGAATCTAAATGATCACTATCTTCAATATAAAGTTGACCTAAATAGCTATGCTCTGCTAAAAATGCTGGAGTAACTATGAAAGTTTTTTGCTTATGCTCTAAATGCAGTTCTCTATATTCGACCATGTTAATACTAGCTAAGTAGATAGTATAATGAGAACAACTTTTGGTAATAATTTTTATACCAGGATGTGGATTATTTTTTAAATTGATAAGAAAAGCTTGAATGTACAGTTGAAGAGATGTATTTTGCTCATACGCTAATCTAACCATATGATCCTTAATATCTTGTGGTAAAAATCTATACCTCTCTCTAGCTTGAGTTTGAAGAAAATATGGATTTTTAGATTTTTGCTCAAGAGAAAATTCACTATTATGCTCAAGTAAGTTAGGCTCATTAGCCTCCTTTTCTTGTAAAACCATACTTAGATTTTGACATCTTAAATTAATGATTCTAAAAAAATTTACTATTGTATCATAGTCCTTCTTTTGCTCTTCGTGTTTTTCCTGCAAAAAAGAAAGCTGTTGTTCTGCTCTTTTATAGTCATAATTATATGCTAAAAACTCTTGCTCAAGGGCTCCAATAAGTTTTTCATGCCCTTTTCTCATGCTTTCAGTATTTGTTCTAATGTTCCAAAAGTTATCTAAAAGAACTCTTTGTTTTTCTGCTAATGATGCTTGAGTACAATATTTTAAAGCAAGATTTCTAACTTCTTGTACTGAAATTCCATTATAAAAATAAGTATTCACTATTGGTCATGCTTGACTAATCATGCTTAATGGATTACCACCTTGTGATGGTGTACCACTATTTTTGCTGCCAGAGGATGATGGTCCAAAATATTGCATACTTGTTAATGAATAATACGGGATAAGATATCTGCTAAAGTATTATCCGTACCTTTAATATGCTCAAATATCGGTCTAAATCCATTTCCTGTAATAGAATCAACAAAATTGACCCATCTTCGGGCTACTTGTTTATTAGTAGTAATTTTATTATAATGTGAAACAATATTCTGACAATCTGTTCTAATAGTAAATATCTCATTATGTAAGAATAATGAAAATGCTTCAAGGGAGTTAATGACTC